AGGCCAGCCCCGCGCCCTCCACCAGGGCGAGCCGGCCCCCCAGGGGTCCCGGCAGGGGGCGCCCGTCGGCCGGCAGCCGGTCCCCGAAGTCCGGGAGGCCCAGGATCGGGAAGCCGTCCGGGTGGAGCCAGGACTTAGGGTGCACGGGAAAGTGGAAGCCGAGGGGGTGCGAGGAAGGGCCTTCGCCCTCCCCCAGGCCGTTGCCCACCTCGAGGAACCGCCTGTCCGGCTCGGGGTCCTCCTTGCTCCCGGGGGTGGGCCCCACCGCCGCCGCCTCCTCTCTCGCCTCCACCTCGGCCTCTCCGTCCGCTTCGCCGGCCTCGGCCTCCTCCGGCCCCTCAGGCCCGGCCTCGGCCTCCTCGGGCCCCGCCGCAGGGACCGCGTCGCAGGCCTCCCGCCGAGGGCCTTCGCCGCCGGGCTCCGTGCAACCGCCGCCGCGCCGGTGGCGCTGGAAGTCGGCGCGCAGGCGGAAGGCCTGGCCGCAGTCGGGGCAGCAGTGCGGCCGGTCGGCCGTGTGCACCGCCTGGTGCCGCGCAAGCGCCGAGCTCTGGCTGAAGCTGCGGCCGCAGTGCGGACACGGGTAGGGCCGCTCTCCGGTGTGCGTGCGCTGGTGCGTGACCAGGTAGGAGCGGCGCCCGAAGCCCGCACCGCAGAAGGCGCAGCGGTAGGGCCGCTCGCCCGTGTGGATGCGCCGGTGCGTGACCAGGTGCGACTTGTAGACGAAGCGCTTGCCGCAGTCCGGGCACGGGAAGGGCTTCTCTCCGGTGTGCGTGCGCTGGTGGATGGCCAGGTGCGAGCGGTACACGAAGCCCTTGCCGCACTCGTCGCAGCCGAAGGGCTTGACGGCCGCGTGGTAGCGCTGGTGCTTGGCCAGCCGGGACCGGTGCGGGAACACTTTGCCGCACACGTCGCACGTGGTCTCGGGCCGCCCTGCCGGAGGAGCCACGGTGGCAGGGAACGCCCAGGGTGCCAGCAGGTTCGCGCCAGGCTCCCGGCCCGGCAGGAAAGGCTTCGCCTCGGACCCCTCGGCCAGAACCCCGAGGCCCCCGGGGTCGAGACCCCAACCCTCCGGAGTCTGCGCCGAATCCGAGTCATCGGGGCCCCATGTCCCAGGCACGTCCCCCACGCCATAAGCTGCTGACCAGAGCCCCGGGGGCTCGTTCTCCTCCTCGGCCACCTCCGCCAGGAAGTCCTCGTCCTCCTCCTCCTCGTGGTCCTCTATATCGTCGGTCCAGAACCAGGCCCCTGAAGGTGACAAAGGCAGGCCAGAAGAAAGAGGTGAGAGGCAGCTCCTTGCAGGCTCCTCCCCCTGAGAAATCGCAGCTTGGGCGGGACCGTCCCCTGTCTGGGACAGGGCACCTCCGTTTCAGTGAAGCCACCGCCTCCCCCGTGGGTGTCCCTCCTAGGGAGGCCGAGATTCCTTCACTTCTTGGACTGTTCTCAAACGGCATCAACTAATTAATGCCACCTGCTGAGGAACAGGGATGCTCTACAAAGTTGGTGACCTTGCCTGCAGGCTCCTGTGAGAATATTACAGGGGGCAGGGGTCCTGTGCTCAGAAAAAGATCCCCAAGCTGTTTTCCTCAAAGCCCCTTGTGTTCCAGAGAATTCCACCCCCCACCCCTGCTTGGCCCAAGGCCAGCAAAACTGTGGTGCCAGCACAGCCCCGGGCCCCTGCCGCTGAGGACCTGCCCTCCTAAGCACCTAAGCTTTGCTGGGCAGCCCTTCACCTCTGAATTCTTCCCAGCCTCAGGCTGGCCAGCAGCCATGGGTCTCCCTCCCATACTCAAGAGCAGAACCAGAAAAGCTACCTTAAGTGGAGGGGACCCAGAGGGGCCACTGAGCCCCAGCTCTCTGCACTCATCCTAACAGCCACCAGCAACTATTCAGGTATAGCCCACGCTCCCCTGCTAAGCCACGCCAAAGCTGGGCTTTTTCTGAGTGTGCATCTGGGAAACAGTCCCCAGGTGGCTAAGACTGGGGGGACTGCAAGCACCTTATCACAGGAGGCCAAAGACAGCCCCCTCTCCAAGGTCCTGCAGTTCTGTACCTCCCCCAGCAAACCGCACCCCGACCTCTCCCTTCAGTGCAGGTCATGGATATGGACTCGGGCCTGCAGGGTGTTCTACTTTATATAATGGAGTCCTGATATACCTGCCATTATGATACACCCAGGAGGGAACTACTATTTACGGAGCAGGCACTGAATCCCAAGGAACAGAAGGGAAAAGCCTGACCCACGGTGGCCCCAGGTGTTCCAAAGTACCTGTGTGCCTACTTTCTCGTGAATACTTTGCCCCACGTGTGTCCACAGTGGGCGCACACCATTGCTGTAGCCCACTTCAGAACCCTAACGTCTGGAAGGCTCGGGCTCCGAGGGTGGGAATCCCTTCTACCCCACCTGGGTCCGCCACCAAAACTGTGGCCAGTGCCAGACATCACCTGGCTGGATGAGTCTGATTGCTGAGTCCTGCCCCCAAGGGAAGGTCCGGGCCCAGCAGGGCTGCCCACCCCCGGCTCAGCCCTCGTCCTGTATTTCTGTACGGCACTCTACACGTATGGTGATATGGTCACATGGGCAAACCCAGCACAGGGCAGAGTGAAATAAAGCCAGACACAGGCATGATTTCAGCTGTGAAAAAAAACCACACATCATGTAAAGGGATACAGAGATGGGTTATTTTATTTTTTCATAATTGCAATCCTTTAAATTTTCTACAGTTAATAATATACTGTTGTAGTAAAAATAAGCTTTAAGCAAGAGACAGAAGTTCCCTGAACTAAGCTCAGTTTGCCTGCAGGTGCCACCCAGGGCATGAGTGGGTGCTGTGGAGTGGCAGCGACCTCAACAGCACAGGGGGCATGCTCCTCACTGCCGAGACTGCAGTGCCCTCACGAGATGGGATTGTCGGTGGGAGGGTCAGGCAGTTGAGCGGATAGATCCACTGGAATTCTTTCCGTGAGTCTCAAAACGAATTTTAACTCAAGACTCTGGTGAGGGTCGTGAGTAGTTTGAATGAGACTCCCTAAGGCAGGGGGAATTCAAGCTGAGGAACAAGTGCAATGTCTTAGTGGGGTGACTGTGCACCCCAGGACCTAGCCTAGGGGCAGCACTTGCTGGCTCCAAAACAGCCACTCAGGCCAAATGAGGGCTCACCAACAGGCGACCTCAGCCGCTCAGTACTGGAAGGGGTGGGCCAGGTCCCAGTGACTCACCCACCACACCTCCTCCTTGGGGTCCAGGAGCAGCAGAAAGTTTCCCCCATGCACCCCGGGGCGGGGGGTGAACCCCTGCCCTGCCCCTACCTCGAGCCTCTGAACAAGGCTCTACAGAGAGAGTGATCATAAGAGGGACCTGGGGGACCGGGTCACTAGCCCTGGAACGAGCACAGCCATTTATCCGAGAACAAGACGACACTTAACACACAGCCAGGTCATGGAGAGCACCACTAACACCAAGGGAAGGATGGTAAGGGCAGCCACGTCCCTAGCAGTCAGAGCTGGCTGCACCGCAAGACAGGACCTCTGGAAGGCACGGGGCCACAGGACAAAGAGCAGAGGAAGAGCAGCCTGCCCTAGGCTGGGCTCTGTTCCCTTGCCTCCTGTCACCAAAGTGGGCCAAGGTCTGGAGGTTGGGCCCTGGAGTGGGGGTGTCCCATGTAAGGGTCACTCCGGGCTGCAATGGGGACAGGGTTTCCAGGGGGGAACCTGGGATCCAAGTGAGCACTTACCAGGTCTACTTGTGACACAAGAGCCAGGACAGAGAGGTTTTGCTCTGACAAAGAGGGTGATGGGACATTTTGCAACAGTGGCCTATGGGGTCAAACACAGTTGCTTCTTCCAGAATCCACAAGGAGAGGGTAGAGGGGAGGACCCTGAGTGGGAGCCGGTGTTCCATCCCCAGAGACATTGCTCCTAAGGAGTGTGACCCTGGGTGATTAGCTAGGCTGGAACCAGCCCTCAGAGGCCCAGTGACAATCCCAGGGGCTGACCAGTGGCAGCCTCAGCACAGCCCCTGAGGTACTTCTAGTAAGTGCCCTACCCAGGCGCTCATCGGAGGGCCTTGGGGAAGGGGAGGGCCCCTGGGCCACACACCTGGTGCACCTGTACCCCTGAGTTGCTCCGCATGACCGACACACAACGCCCGGAGAACGGTGCCACCGTTTACTAGGACTCCCACCCTCAGGCAGCCTCTGCCCGTGTCCAGGGACCCAGAGGCCTGCCCTCAGGCCCAACAGTGAGTCAACTGTGGGTCTGCTCTGACTAAACACCTCTCTGCTGCAACCCCTAAGTAAAGTCCACACCTGCTCCTGCCTCTTCCTCCAGACCCGGAGCCTCGAGGTGGCCTTGGGGAGAGGCCCCCACCTGGGGACAGTTACCAAAGGAGGACACGGACAGGGGCTGGTGTGCTCAAAGCTGCGTATGGCTCCTTCCTCCAGGGCTGCCGGCCAGCTGCCTTTCCTCCCCATTGAGCAGGGATTTGGTAATCAGGGCTGGACTCCAGTGCGACAGCTCCCGACAGGACCAGGTTTCTGTGCTTCGAACTGTCCTCCCGTGAGGGCAGAGCCCGCCCCCCATTGCTGGCCTCAGCCTCCTCATTTGTACCATGAACTGTAATACCAAGGACCAGTTATCAGCAAGAGCTCGAGGCCGGGCCCCTCCTCACTTGGAATGTTTCCTGGCTCCTTCCCCTTCTGCCGACACTGAACCCCGGGGTCTGAGGCAAGACAGCACCTCCGTGCCTTCTCCCTGGCTCAGACCACAAAGGGGGATTCAGTGATATCCCAGGTCCCCTCGGGGGTGTGACAAAGGGAAAGCCCGTGCTGAGGTCTGACACCCCCCCACCCCAGTTCTCCCAAGGACAGACAGGCGCTCACGGGCTGTGTGAGGTAGACACCACCTGCAGGCTGGCGCCCAGCCTGTACCTCCGCTCCACAGCCGCTCTGAGTTCCTCCTCTCCAGAACCACTCCCCGCGCTCACCCACCATGGGATTCGCCCACCTTAGTGTTTTACCTCTTACTGCCTTTAAATTTTCTCTCTATCCTCTCCTGCATCATCTTCAGGCAGGTTTAACCCTGCATTCTGTACTCCTCGTCTGTCCTTCACTTTCACGTGAGGGGCAGGACCAGCAGCCAGCCCCACTGGGTGCCAGGCCCGCGCCAGGTACCGTGGAGACAGCACAGGGGTGGACAATACACAGTGCCAGCTCTTATGGAGTCTGCCGGAGGCAGCAGGCAGGAAATGAGGAAGCAAACATCCAGCCAGGACCGTTTCAGACAGCACTGTCTGCTGTACGTGCAGGAAACATCCTGGAGGAAGGCAGGAAGGAGTGCTCCTGAAGTCTACGTGGTCAGAGAACACGCGACTTAGTAGGGACCTAAGAGCTGAGCCAGCCACACAAAGGGCACTCTGGGCAGGGGAAACAGTAGGCACAAAGGCCCTGAGGCAGGTGAGAGCCTGAAGAGAAAGGCTGGCTGTGGAGCTGAGCCTGAAGACCCAAGGGTGTGTGAAGTGAGTCTGGCAGGGCGGCAGGTCTCAAGGCCACAGCAGAGAGCCCAGATGCTATTCCAAGCGCATGGGGAAACTTCCAGAGAGTAAGGCAGACGGCCAGCTCAGGAACACCTGTGCCTGATGGCCTCATAGAAGCGTGGGATGGGGTAGTGCAACGAAGGCAGAGGGACAAGGACCACTCAGGCAGGCAGCCAGGCCCACTCAGGTGCCCAGGACGCTGCAAGGGAGGCCTGCGGGGGACAAGCGGGGCCACCTCACGCTGGGGGCTGGGGGGATTCACTGCGGGACGCCCATCAGATAACTGAGTGGAGATGTCAAGCAGACCAGGTCAGGGCTGGAGAAAGCAGCTGAGGATGGGCAGCAGAGATAGAAATGGTACCGGAGGCTCTGGTCCCAGTCACCAGTCACCTAGAGAGGACAGAAGAGGACGCGGGACCGTCCTGGTCTCGTAAACAAGCGAGGGCAGGCGGAGAAGCAGCCGGGAAAGCAGCTGAGAAATCGAGGCACGTGGAGTCCTGAGGCCAAGAGGGTCCGTATCTCAGAGAGCAGAGAAGCCAGCCTAGCAAGGACACAAGGCCAGCCCAGCAGGCCAAGGTGGTGGCGGCGTCCTCAGGAGGCCTGTGGTCAGCCCACAGGTATGCCGTATTCCAGCCACGGTCCCTGCTCCAGTGCACGTGTGGGCAGGGAACGGGCTGCTGCCAGGGGCAGGGGTCTGGCAGGCGACTACACAGGGCAATCACAAAGGAGGGAGAGGTGCTGCTATCTAAACCAGGTGAGGAGACAGGTGCAGGAAAGGGGTGGGGTCAGAAGAGGCGAGGACAGCCAGCACCCGGGAGCTGGAGGTGGTGGCCACGGGGTGGGGAGCCAGAGCAGGACGCGCCAAGTCAGCACTGGACAGGTCACGGGGTGCCTGAGTCGGGGGAGGCGGACAATGTGCCAGACCTCTTGGCCCAATTTTTCAAGCAGCACAAGAGAGGAATACACTTGTGTTTTGCCAGACTCCAATCTAGAAATCCAGAAACTCTGCTGGGTTCAGAACAGTCGGCATCTGTCCCGCCCAGACCCAGCAATCCTCAATTCTCAACTGACTCAAGTGCTCAGAAATGAGTACAGGGAGAAAAGGGAAGGAGGCCGTCTAGCAAACGGACTACAGTTCTAGTTAAGAAGGACCTTAGGTGGATTTAGTGCACCCAAGCTGACCCCAGCCCTGGCTACTGTATCCCCTCCCGGGCACAAGGCCACGTCTAAGACTATGCCCGGTCCTGCCCCTACCTCAGGCTCCCCAGACAGGAGGGGTGGGATAGGGGAGCACTCTGGGCTCACCGGCCCTACCTGGCACAACAACCAGCCACTGGGGAGGACAGAGGGGCGGTGGCCTGGCTAGCCGTCCTCCTCAGGGAGCTGCCAAACTCACCCAGGGTCACAGGTCACATTGTGGGGACCACCCAGGCTGAAACCTGCGAAAGTCTGCACCCCAGGACCCTCCAAGAAGCGTAGACAATGGGGCCACATCTAGACCACATGATAAGAGACAGGCCGACGGAGGTCTGTGGCCCCTTTAATTGCAGGTGACTATTCTGAATAGGGCCGACCCCCCACTAAGGCCCACTGAGAAACATCACCCACATCCAAGCCTCATCCTGTAAGCAGCTGCCACGGTCTCACCAACTAAAGCCCTCCCCAGTCTGCAGCCCAGGAATGGCTCCCAGACAGGGTCCCGGAGAGGGTGGACAGCTGGGGCAGGAAGGCCATTCTGCAACACCATGGACAGCAGGGCCCGGGCTCTTAACCACCACTTTAGAAGCCGATTTCCTCATCTGCAAGGGAGGCCGCTCTCCTCTGCCCTGCCATGTCACGGGGGTGCCGTGAGGATACAAAGTAAACGGGAAAATGCTTTGAAGAGTACACGTGTAGGCGTAGCATTGTCTGTGTTTCTCTGTTTTTATTTGAAAACACGTGTAGGAGAGGCTCTGAGTCTATCCAGGCACGTGACCGGCGTGAGCCATCCAGCGCCCCTCACTAAGGTGACATCACTCCAACCCAAGGCTGGTACACCTGCCATGCAAGGGCCCCCAGGGAGCCCTGAAACACCGAGCCTAACACACACCTCCTGAAGCACCCCCACAGAACCGACAGTCCCGCGCCCTCAGCCTGGAAATTATGGATTCGGTTCGAATTTCTTTATTCCCCGTGTGAGTAAAGCAAGCAAAGCTCAGGGGGTTAGAGGAACAGAGCCAGAGTCGCCTCAGTCCCCGGAGAAATTTGCCACCCTGAACACTTTCCGTACGCATCCCTCCCAAACCTCCTCCCGGGAAGGTGCGCGGCTGCCCGCCCAGGCCTGTGGCCGGCCCCCCAGACCCTTCGTTCAGAGATGGCCAAGTGGGTGCAGAAGGCAAAGAGCCGGCTCCAGTCTGGGACCCAGAAGGGCTCTGGCACGGCCAGGACCGAGCGTGCCCACTCCCGTCCCTCTGCGCCAAAGACTTAACAACTGGCCCTCGCTTACCAAAACGACTCCAAAACCCAAAGAGACGCTCCAAGGCAGGGACAGGGACAGTGTGAAGGGCTCCTAAGAGGAAGCTCGAGGTTCTGTAAGGACTCCCCAGCCTTGGACGACCACAGGCTGGAATCAAGAGAAGCCAACCCACAAAGGCAGAGACTGGCGCACGACGGCCTCCCTGTCTCCATGCGCCCGTCCACGGCCCAGACCGCCAGCACCAGGGCTGCAGCAGAGAGCTAAGGTGAAGGCCAAAGTCGGCAGGGCTCTGAGGAGCTACAGAGGCAGAAACCGCACGAGAGTCCATCTCATACTCACCTGTGTAGACGCCAGTGACAATGTCTCCTTCCTCAGGACGGGGGCTATCTGGGACCCAGGGCTCCTCCCCTTGTTCCAGCCGGAAGATCAGATCCGGCTTGGGGATTGGGTATCCTGGCCAGGAGAAGGACAGCCAGCAGCTGCAGGGCCGCTCTGGCCAGGCCCGCCCGCACCCCACGTGGTGCCATCCCAACACCCCAAGCCCTCCTCACTCTCTCGCTGCTCTTCTCCCTCCTTCCCAGGACCAGCTCTCCTGCCTCCCAGCCTCCACTCTGGGAAAGCCCACCTTCACTTCTCTAGAACTTTGCCTTGATACCCCCCAGCTCTTCTGCAGGGCCCCCCCCCACACCTTCCTCACCCCTCTCCTCTATCACCTGACTCCTCCCCCCTGGAGGCCCCTGGGGAGTATACAGAACAGAGACCACAGCTGGACCGGTGGCTCCCAGAACACATCCACCTGGCTCACGGCACTGCTGGACCACAGTGAAGACCCCAGAACACAGCCCCACCCAGAAGCCAGAGTGGTCCCTAAGGACCCCCAAGAGGTGGGCTGGATCCAGGACCCCCTTCTCCTAGACCCTGGGGTTTCAGAAGCCACTCTCTCAAACAGCTAAGCTGCTGGCAGTCATCACGTAGGAATGCCTCTTGGGGACGGAAGGCCCCCTGCTTACCCAAGGACACCAGGATCCCATAGTTCTCCTGCATGACATCCTTGTAAAGGTCCCGCTCGCCTGCGTCCAGCCTCTCCCACTCCTCCAGCGAGAAATACACAGCCACGTCTTCAAAGGTGACCAGCCCCTGGAAAACAAAGAGCCCTGGCCACTGCCTTAAGCTGCCCTAGGAGAGAGGCAGGGGAGCCCCTAGAAAGAGAGCGACAGAAAATTACTTCAGGAAGAACTGCCCGTGGACCTGCAACATGGAGCTCACGGGGACACAGCCCAACAGCCCAAAGCCCCAGTGGCACCGAGGGCTTCTGAGCCTGGCTGCACCCTGGAAGGCAAGGACCCCACGTCCATTCAGAGGTGAGGAACCCAGGCTCAGATGGGGTGAGCACTCAGCTTGTGTGGAGCAGAGCCAAGACTCTCACACTGAGGCCAGGAGACAATGCAGCTCAAGTCCACGGCCGTGCTAAGAGGTGGTATCCTCCCCTCCTATGTCATCGTCCAACCTAAGCCAGTAGTCGCATCAGCAATGAGAGGGCCCACGCCTGGGTGAGTATGTGGCATCGACTAATCTGCCTGGGCTCGGCAGGAAGCCAGAGCCCGGCCAGGCGAGCGGCACTCCAGGTGAGGGACCACAGCCCGATCCTGGGACAGAGCCAGTCCCCTGAAATAACTACGCACAGAGCAGCTGAGTAAGTGGCAGTCAACACACTCAGGACATCCCAATGGCCTGGGAAGTCTCGGGCCCCCGGGAAGTGGAACCATATCCCATGGCTTTGCGGGTAGAGACCCCCAGCCACGTCCTGCTGCCCCGTCCCTGCTCACAGCCTGAGCTCGCCCTGATGACCACGGCGCCCCTGCCTTGCCAACAGGGCTCTCCAGGACAGCAGGTGCCAGGCTTCCCCCTCAGGAAAGCCTGCCTGGTTAACTGAGCTCCAAGTGAGAAAGCGGCTCACCTGAGACCCAGCTGTCAGGGAATCGTCATCATCTTCCTCGTCCTCCTCGTCCTCATCCTCCTCATCCTCATCCAGGTCCTCATCCCTAGGTGTGGCTGGAGCCTGGCTGGCCTGCAAGGCTGAGGGGAGGATCTCTTAGGGACCTGCCCTCGCCAACAGGCCTCATGGCCACCCCTGCCCAGACAGCAAGTAGGTCAGGAGCCCCCACTCCTCCGTTCCAAAGCCTGGGTCCTGACGCTCCAGCTCCACCCTATCGGGCCAAAGAGCTCTCCCGATCTGCCCTCCCAAGCTCCCTCACCTCCTCCCCCCAAAGCCAGCTCCTTTTTCTTACCCTTTTCCTGAAGAACTGGGGACTTGGCATCACCGGCACGGTGAAGGCGTCCCTGGGTCCCCAACGTGGGACTCTGCTCCTCTGCCACCACCTCGTCCTCGTCCTCGTCCGCCTCCACCTCCACCTCCACCTGCTCCACGTGCCCTGCCTGCCCCCCCTCCTCCTCTTCCTCCTCCACCACCGCCTGGTCCTCCCCATCCTCTGCTAGGAGCTCCTCCTCCTCCTCCTCCAGCTCCACCTCTTCCCCCTTTTCTTCTTCCTCTTCTTCCTCCTGAGCAGGACCACATCCCAACCCATCCTCCGCCTTCGCCAGCTGCGTGGCTGGTGAGTCCGGGGTCGTACGAAGAGCTGCCATCTTCTCCGGAGGAAAGCCTCAGCTCGGCCTGAAACACAGACGGGCAGCGGGGATGAGCCGCCCCCACCCCCCGCTCGCTCCCACGCGCTGCTCCTCGGGCCTCCCTCTGTCCCCCGGGAGGCAGGACTTATCTCCCCCACTAGATAGTGACACACCAAAGGAGGAAGGACCGAGGCTCTTCCTGTGCTCTCATGAGGCACAACTGGGACACTCTGTGCCCAGAAAGACTAACCACAGAGCCCCTCTCTGTGACCCCATTATGCAGCCTCAGCTCCTTCTTGCCAGAAATTCTGTGCAGGGCACGAACTGCTGTGCCATCTAGGAGTAAATCAGGGATTTAGCCTAGGTCTTCATCCTCAGGGCCTGTGAGAAGCAGGGGGTCCAGGCCACATGGCCGAGGGTGGCCCACATCTGGCTGCAAGGGGCGAGTGCGGCCTGTGAGCAACAGCCCACCTCCATCCGGGGGACCCACCTCTGCACACCGACACTGTGCCAGCAGGGGTGCGGGAGGAAAGGCCCGGGCTCGGGCAGGGGTGACAGGTAAGACAGGCGGGCTCATTCGCCACCGCCTGGAAGGCAGGCTGGTCGGGCTCCTATTTGCCAGAGGCAGCGACACAAGACGTCGTGGGTCTGCGCTGCCCCCTGCGTCTCCCTGGCCCCTCACTCCATCCAGGGCATTCGGGAAAAGTTCAGCAGCTCGTGGAGACTTGCTTCATCGCCGGACCAGCAGATACAACCTAAAATGCCCTTTAATGGCTCTTCAAGTTTAAGGATCAGAGAATCCCAGGAGGGAACTGTCAAAGGCCCAGTGGCTTCCAGGGTGCCACTCACACCAGTGTCACAGCTGCCTCAGCCCAGGTGCTCCGGAGACAGAGCCACGCGGTGGCACGGCCCAGACGCGAGGGCTCGGGGGGGGGGGGTGGGGGGGGGCGCGCCTCCCTCCCAGGTGCACACCCTCCACCAGCCTGTGGAGATCCAAGGGCAGGACAGAGTCACAGTTTTGACAGGTCGGTTTCTGGGGCTCCTTCTTGAGTGAAAACTTGAGGAGCCTACCCCCCAGCCCTGTCAGCGTTTCAGACCTAAAGTGGGCCACTCCCGAAGTGATCTGAGCCCCCTGCAAACACAGCAACCCCAGCACCCTGGGATGACGGCATGACCGCCAGAAGGATCCTGCAACATCGGGCCACGTGGGGCAGGTGGGCCCAGCGCAGCTCGTCGGGCTCCAGCAGTGGACAGCATCTGCCACGGAACCCCTCCAACGGGACAGGGGCGCCCCACATGGAGACATGCAGGGTCACGAGAGCGGCTCAGAACACCAGGTATCCACAGGGAAACTGCTCAGTGACAAGCTCTCATTCCACAACCCCTCGCTTTTCTACTAACGAGGCAGCACGCACCGGTTCTCGGCAGAGCAGGTGCCTCGGTGCACCCATGAGAGCCTTCCAGAGACCAAGGCTCGGGTCCAGGGGCTGGGATGTGTGGGCACCCAGAGGCCACCTCTGTCCTGCCCCTCACACTCCCCTCTAGCTGACTAGATTGCAGATTCACAGACACAGAATCCAAGGTCACAGGTGAAGAGCTATGCCTCTACAGGCCACCCCAGCCTCCAGACGCTCCCCCAAACCAACCTCCTTGGTCTCCATGGTTCTTTGGGCACGTGAGGGTGCCCAGGTGTAGAAACGTGTGCCGTGGGTAACGCCAGCCACTTCCAGGAGGGCACAGCCCTCCCCGGGACTCAGGGCACTGAGAGTGTGCTCAGCAAAGGTTTCCCAACCACCACCCACCTCAGGCCCACAGGAGGGCTTTTCTCACCCAGGCCTCGGGCTACAAATCCACACTGAACTCAGACACCACACCAAGCCCAGCAGAGCTGCCTTCTGCCTGGCCACCATCCAGAGCAGACTCCCACAGGCCAGTCTGCTGTACCCGAGGACCCACTCACAAAAGAAGAAAACCCCAAGGCTTTGGAATACAGTGGCCCCATGCTGGTCCCACCTCCGGACCTTTGCACATGCCATTCCCTTTCCCCGGCTCTCACTTCCCCTCTTCTTCACTGATCCTCTGGAAGTAGCCTCCTGGGTCCCCTTTCACACAGTTCTCTGAACTCTGCCCTCACGGCGCCTCACTTTTATATATTTACAGAACTGTCTGCTCAGTGCCTGTCTCCCCAAGCACACAGTCCACTGCAGGAAGGCGAAGTTCCCTTGCTCATCTCTGAACACTCCCCCCACCCCACCCCGTGCCAGGCACAGAGCGAGCACTCAAATATTTATTAAGGAAACGGCTCTAAAGTCTGTAATCAACATGATAACATGAGATTTTAAAAACTCAGGGGCACCTGGCTGGCTCAGTCAGTAGAGCATGCGACTCTCGATCTCGGGGTTGTGAGTGCAAGCCCTACGTTGCGCACAGAGCTCACTAAAAACAAAAACAAAAAACAAAACCCTCGGTATTCTGGCCCCACTGCCACGTTCCACAACAGACTGACCACTCTTTGGGGTCCTTCAAAATGGAACCCATCCCAGAAGCACTATGGAGTCTCTGCCTTCAAAGAGGCTGTCACCTGAAGTCCCTTTTCCTCCAAAATGCACCTGCTGATGACCAGAGAAGGGAAAGGCTCAGCAGCACTGGAGGTCAGCAGTCATTCTGCAGATGGAATCACAGCCTAGCACAAACAGACACCCCACATACCCCAACACAGAATCCAGAACAGAATCATTCCGGAAAACAGACTTCAGTCACTCAGGCACCAGGTTCCTTCTGCCTCACCAGGCAGCTAGGTGCTGGGCACACTCCCCCAGACCCACACGCTCTCCTCTCTCCTCTTCCCAGCCTGCCAGCCCACTGAAACTCACTCTGCCCGCTTCCTGGCATCCGATCCCAGGTCAGAAGCCACAGAGGGTCAGGTAAGCAGCCTCATCAACATAAGCCCCCAGGGCATTCCAGACCCTTACTTCCCTTGGGGCCCTGCACCCTAGGACACAGCACTGCCGACACTCAGAACTGAGGATGACAAAACACCCTCTATGAGAACAGAAAGCAGCAGCAAAGTTTGGAAACTGTTAGAACTCTCCACAAAAGTCCCAAATCCAAGAAGCCTACACAGAAAGAAAGAAACGTGCGGGTACATATATATCTAGGCCCCTTCCTTCCCTCTAGGTGGCCTTACTGACCACACTCCTGTTATTCAAGGCCTTCCAGGTTTTTGCCTCCTTCAAGAAGCCTTCCTTCCTTGACTACTAGGATCCTCACTGTGTGTCCATGTCCATGGCTCCCCTACTCTCCAGGATTTGCTCCTGGTGCAGGTGTATCCATGGGGCTACTCCCCCAGCTCCCCCAGGCCAGCTCTTCACTATGCTGGCCAGCTCCCCAGACCTGCCAACACTTGTTGAACCAAACCAAGTACCAAGATCTCTCCGCACAGGTGCAGCTAGGGGCCTAATCCCTCTGCACACCTCCCCTTCTCCCTACCCACCTAGTCCTCTACCAAAGGCCAGCCCCTCTCCCACCTCTGCCGCCACATGGGGCGGCCCAGACCCTATCCAACCCCAGGGATGAGTTCCCCTACCGGACGACCAGCAGTAGAAGACGGCATAGCAGCCCACCGGAGCCTCCATTTGCAGAGAGGGAGGACCCAGACGAGGCCCCCAAGGTCACTAAGCAAGCTCCCGGGGCGCCTGGCCAAGCCACTTCCATCCCTCCAGGGGGCTTATCGGGCTCGGGTCTCCCGCAGAGGCCCTGGCGGTGACAGCCCCTCCTGGATGGGTGTGTCCCCGGGGGCGGCCACGGCCCAACCCCCGCCCCTCGGGCCTAGCCGGCGGCGGGCACCTCCCGAGGAGTCCGCGCGTGTCCTCCCCAGCCCCGCCTGCTCCGCGCCGCCGGCCTCTGCCCGCCCCGGGGGTCGGAGCCCGCCCCCCCGGACTCCTCGCGAGCGGCCCGCCGCCGGCTAGGCCCGAGGGGCGGGGGTTGGGCCGTGGCCGC